ATCCTAATCCTGAGATCCTTCCTTTGTGTTTAGTTTTTTGTGGAGCAGCTGGTCTTTGTTCCCCACAGGATCCATTTACGCCTTGTTTTGATTTCTTCACATCACTTCATCTTTAAAAGCTTGAGGACGGCGTTCCTCCAGTCTGACCAATAAAATCAAGTCTTCTGTTATCAGGAGGATGAGAGAAAACATTAATGCATCATTTATTGATGCATGTTTAATCTGAAGCCATCAATAAAAAGAAACTTTGTAACTTTATCTATTTTTGTAGGTTTTATTTTTGCTGTTTCAAGTTAACAAGAGACATTCATGAACATTTGATCCCATAAACCAGCTGATATATTTGTTTACATGAAATTCTTTCCAAAATTAACAAGAAAAAAAAAGAAAAATCTTCAGGTTCGGAAACAACTAATAATCTACAACATTTGTAAACAGTAATTCTTTAACTAGAAGGAAATATATTGATACGTTGATACAAGTGATAGTTTTCATTTATAATCCATCACAAGTAAAATTGAAAGAGCAAGTTTTCAACAAAAAACCTAGTAATTTATTTACATCGAGTGATAAACAATAAACCTTCAAAATATTTCAGTGGAAACAGAAATATGTAAAAAATCCTCCAGATAATTTATTTAAAGTATTTACTTGCAAATGGTGTAAAATAAGTATTTAGTTAGTAGCATAAGTTCACCTCAATACTTGTTACATATCCTTTGTTGGCAATGACAGAGGTCAGAGGTCAAATGTATTCAGTACATATTCCATAAGTCTCGGCACAAACTGTAGCTGGTATTTTAGCCCATTCCTCCATGCAGATCTCCTCTAGACCAGAGATGGTTTGAGACTTTCAACTCCCTGCAAATGTTTTCTCTGGGGTTGAGGTGTGCTACTGAGTAGGCCACACCAGGACCTGAAACTGGTTCTTACAAAGCCACACCAGGACCTGAAACTGGTTCTTATAGAGCCACACCAGGACCTGAAACTGGTTCTTATAGAGCCACACCAGGACCTGAAACTGGTTCTTATAGAGCCACACCAGGACCTTAAACTGGTTCTTAATAAGCCACACCAGGACCTTAAACTGGTTCTTAATAAGCCACACCAGGACCTGAAACTGGTTCTTACAAAGCCACACCAGGACCTGAAACTGGTTCTTACAAAGCCACACCAGGACCTGAAACTGGTTCTTATAGAGCCACACCAGGACCTTAAACTGGTTCTTAATAAGCCACACCAGGACCTTAAACTGGTTCTTTCAAAGCCACACCAGGACCATAAATCTTGGGGTGAGTGTGATGCTGTCCCCTGCAGTGGGTATACCGTTATCATTATGTTCCAACGTGTCCATATTGGACAGAATGTGTGTGTGTGTATGCGTGCGTGTGTGTGTGTGTGTGTGTGTGTGTGTGTGTGTGTGTGTGTGTGTGTGTGTGTGTGTGTGTGTGTGTGGTGTGTGTGCCGTCCCCGGAAGGTGTAACTTGACCATTGTGTCCTGAAGTATCGTTGTTGGACAGAATGTGTGTGAGTGTGTGGCCGTTCCCTGACTTGATTATTTACTGTTTTTATTAGGACAGTTATTGTCCTATGATGATTTGAAAATATTTAGAACAGTATTATATTCATTATCCACATCATCCATGAACCCAGAATTTCATGAAGCTTCTTCTTGTGTTGTTGAGCAGCTTCATTGATCATTGGTGTGTTTTTCTGAATCTCTGCAGACGAGACACAGAGTTTGAGTTTCTCAGACTGCAGAGATCCTCTGAAGCTCTCTGCTCTCTCTGCTGTAAGAAAGTCTCACACAGATTCTTCAGAGCCAGATTAAAAGGTGGATTATGTCTTGAAGATCTCCTCCGACAAATTGGACATTCTCTTACAGGTTTCTCTTTCCACCAGTTCTTCAGACTCTCTTTACAGAAGCTGTGGCTGCATGACAGAAGAACCGGATCCTTAAAGACGTCCTGACAGACAGGACAGCAGAGATTCTCCCGCAAATTGGAAGCCATTTTGTCTCTGAGTGAAGCTGAAAACACAGCAGACTGAATGTTAAACCAGGAAGTCAGTTTCCCTTGTGCAGAAACTGTATTCTCTTACTTTCACTTTGATTTCCTTTTTTTTTTATTATCCAGCAGCAGTCTGTGTTTCAGTGTCTTGTTCTTCAATTTTCTCTCTGGTCGCCTTTAATCTTTCCTGAGTCAGTCGTTTGGTGGAAGGCTTGTGAGAAAGACATTCGTGATTGCTTTCTTCGAGTTTTTCTCTCTGAACTATTTTCTGTTTTTCCTGTATATCAAGGTGTCCTGTTTGAATTCCAGTCTTGAGGCAAAGATGTGGCGCCCTCTTATGGATTTTCTGTTAATCTGTTTTAGAAAAAACTGCAGTCCTGGAGATAAAGGCAGTGTTGGATTTTGAGGAAAACTTTGCCCTTCTGCAAATAATCAGGTTCAGAATAAAAAATGCTTTGATGCAAATTTGATTATTTTTCTGACCTTTGTATAATGTGGTTAAAAACGGAGATAGAAAAATTACAAAAAATATTGTAAATGTAAACCAAAATAATGTTAAGAAATTCAACAAATTTAAATAAAAGCCATGAAAGTATAATAGAAACTAAGTATTGATACTCCTCCATTGTTAATGGAGGAGTATCAATACTTTCATGTTGTTTCAAATACTTAGCAACATGTTTCATTGCACCTCCATGGATTGATGTGTTCTTGGAATGTTTCAGGGTCTACTGTCTGTCTTCACATCTCTGTTAATGTAACTAATTTCATAACCATCTAGTTCAAGTCAGCCTTAATATTAATCCAGGTTTCAGACATAGTTATGATACTTAAAGCCTGAATGAACTGGATTAAACAGTCTTTGATGCTGGTCAAATTCACATATCAGCTTTTGCTGTTGAAATGTATGATGGAAAATGTATTATCTGCTTTAACAGTCAAATTGTATTGCTGAGTAGAATAGTAGCAACAATGGTCAACATTATTATAGATAAAGTTCTTTTCGGGATCCAAATCCTTTTCTATTTCTAGACTTTAATATTCAATGTTATCAAATGTTTTTGATAGAGGTGTTCATGTTTTATCCATAACTAAAGATAAAGTTTTGGCAAATTATGACATGATTGAAATACATCATGTGACAGGATGATTGTCTCTTAATGAATCTGCCTTATTTTTGTCCTTTAGCTCCATCTAGTGGAGGATAAAATACATAGATCTGTTCTGCATCCCTGACTGCAAATATTTCACTCCCAGTTTATCGTATATTTTAAAGTGCTTCTAATTATCGGTTTCCAGTTTTCTTTCTTTAGTTCTAGAAATTACTATACCATACCATACCAACTTTATTTATAAAGCACTTTAAAACAACCACAGCTGAAACAAAGTGCTGTACATAAAATAGATAAAAACAAATACAGTTTAAAACAACAAACATACAATATAAAACTAGATGTCGCTGGAGTTGAAAGCCAAGTAAAATAAATAGGTTTTAAGACGAGCTTTAAAATTGTTAAATCATTTCATGGCTTTAAAGCATGAAATCCTTTTATTCCATAAAAATCATTTCAAAAAACTACAAAGAACATTAAAATCTCATTGAAAATTGTTTCATTTTAGTGATTCCATTGATCAATTTAATAATGGCTTCCAGAAAATAGAAGCAGTTTCAGGATTTCCTTTTTGTATTCGGTAAATAATAACTTTCCTGCTAATGCTAGCTAGCCTGTTTGCTTTGGTTGTATGTACCCAGAAAGCCTTGCTCTGTGGTCCACCTCATGCTTTTGGAGCAGCTGCTGGTCTAGTCCACCTCCAAGCACCAAACAATTCTGATCAAATCAAATCAAATTTTATTTTATAGCATCTTTCAGCAGCAAGGCATTTCAAAGTGCACAATCAATAATCAAAAACTACATTAAGTCCCATAACAATGCAAATAAAACATTTTTAATATTTCATCTACACAACTCAGCCAATGGACATTGACCTAGAGGGCCCTTCAAAAACTCACTTAAACGTGATGTTCAACCTACAAAACTCAGAGAAATTTAACCATCTAAATCCTTGATGAAAGAAAATTATCTTTCCTGATGACAGAAAATACAAAGTTCTTTGATATAATAGAAGAAAATCAGAACATTATATTTCTGTCTCAAAAACACACCAGGTCCCTTCAATCTAAGAGTTTAATTCAAATAAAAGTTTGACTTCAGAGTAAAAACTTGTTTGTAACTGAAGCTGTTGCCAAAACCTCATTATTCTGGTGCCTCTAATTGGTTTCTTTGTTTTATAATTACTTTTCTAATGGAAAATTGGATACAATAAGATGGTAAGTCGCTCAAATGTTCTGCCTTTCTTAATGTTTCATTTTGTTAACATTTAGCTTTCTGTTTCTGAACGTGGTTTCTGGTGCATTTCTGGTCCTAATTCTGAGATCCTTCCTTTGTGTTTAGTTTTTTGTGGAGCAGCTGGTCTTTGTTCCCCACAGGATCCATTTAGACGCCTTGTTTTGATTTCTTCACATCACTTCATCTTTAAAAGCTTGAGGGCGGCGTTCCTCCAGTCTGACCAATAAAATCAAGTCTTCTGTTATCAAAAGGATGAGAGAAAACATTAATGCATCATTTATTGATGCATGTTTAATCTGAAGCCATCAATGAAAAGAAACTTTGATACGTTATCTGATTTTAAAGGTTTTATTTTTGCTGTTTCAAGTTAACAAGAGACATTCATGAACATTTGATCCCATAAACCAGCTGATATATTTGTTTACATGAAATTCTTTCCAAAATTAACAAGAAAAAAAAGAAAAATCTTCAGGTTTGGAAACAACTAATAATCTACAACATTTGTGTAAACAGTAATTCTTTAACTAGAAGAAAATATATTGATACGTTGAGACAAGTGATAGTTTTCATTTATGATCCATCACAAGTAAAATTGAAAGAGCAAGTTTTCAACAAAAAACCTAGTAATTTATTTACATCGAGTGATAAATAATAAACCTTCAAAATATTTCAGTGGAAACAGAAATATGTAAAAAATCCTCCAGATGATCAGATCATCTTTCATTTCCTGATTAAAAACAGAGTTTAAAAATGACAATAAGAAATTCACCAAACCAGAAAACCATATAATCAATCATAAAACCAATCAATCATCTGATCAATAAGTTTTGATTTGGATCATCAGAGCTGCTGCTTGTTCACTGAGATCTTCATCGGTTCAATCTTTAAGGTGTTAGTAGTGGTGAAGAGTGGAAACATCTTATCAGTGAAGGTGTATTTGAAGGTGAGTATGTGTGTGTTAGTATCCAGATCAGAGAAGGACAGCTTTCCTCTGTCCCAGTCCAGATTCACTCTGATCCTCTGGAGATTCCTCTGAATGGAGAGACGATGGAAAGGAGCTGATGGAGAATATGCATAGTATGTACCTTTATAGAACCATAAAAACATCCATCCAGACTCTATTCTTCCCTTTCTCTCAACAGACTCTTCTATCACACCAAGGCTCCAGGCTTTAGTGTCTCCAACATCAACATCCCAGCTGTGGTTCCCTGAGTTAAAACCCTCAGAACTCAGAACAGAACAGCAGGCTTTATCAAATCTCTCTGGATTATCAGGAAGCTGCTGTTCCTCTCTAAAAGTCAAACTGGTCAGATCTTTAGACAGACGGAGTTCTGAACCAGCCGTGTTTGGATCCAGAACCAGAGGAGTGTAGGTCACCACTGTCTCCATGTTGCTCCAGATGTTGAAGGCCAGGTTGCCCAGATGTTTGGCCTGGTCTATCAGAGCTCCTGAGGGCAGCTGTGGATCCTCCAGCAGGGGGCAGCGCTGGACTCTTTCCACTGCAGCCTTGTAGTTGTGCAGGAATGAGACGTCTTCAGCTCTCAGCTCCTCCTCTGTGGCTCTGACTGTGTCTGAAAGAGCTGCTATCTCTCTGCTCAGAGCCTCCATCTTCTCCTTCATCATCCCTCTCTTCTGCTCCTCTTCCTCCCTCAGTGCAGCCAGCCTGGCCTCCTCTTCCTCTGCTAGAAACTGATGAAGATGCTTAAACTGCTCCCTAATCTGCCTCTCTGTGTGTCGGGCCTGGACCTTCAGGTGTTCTGCTGTCTGACCAAACTCCTCCTGAACTTTCTTCCTGAGCTCCAGCTTCTCCTTTAAAGGCTCCAGAGTTTCCTGAAGCTTCTTCTTGTGTTGCTGAGCAGCTTCATCAATGGGTCTGAATCTGTGACTGGTGTAGTTTTCTGAGTCTCTGTAGACGACACACACTGGCTGCTGATGGTCCAGACAGAAGAGTTTGCGTTTCTCAGAGTGCAGACTGCAGAGATCCTCTGAAGCTCTCTTCTGTCTCCGCTGTAAGAAAGTCTCACACAGATTCTTCAGAGCCAGATTACGTGGTGGATTTTTGATGAATGATCTCCTTTTACAAACTGGACACTCTCTTCCTGGTTTCTCTCTCCAGGATTTCTGCAGACACTCCGTACAGAAGCTGTGGCTGCATGACAGAAGAACAGGATCCTTAAATATGTCCAGACAGACCGGACAGCAGAGATCATCGTCTGGTCTGGAAGCCATTTCGTCTCTGCTCTCTATCAGTGAGGCCTTCGGAGAAAGGAATCAGAGTTAATCAACAATACAGAAATATTCTTCATTATATGAGATTAACTAAAATGAAAGCATAAAAGAAAGACACATAATAAAGCAATGAGAATAACAAATATTTGATTAATAATATCACAATTTCTCCAACACCGGTAGTTTGGTGGAAGGTAGGTGACACATATGATCCTGAATGTTTTCTTTGAGTTTTTTTCTCTCTGAACTATTTCCTGTTTTTCTGTATTTCTAGGATCCTATGGAAGATTTTCTGTTTATCTGCAGTTTTATTATTTATTTTCTAATGAGAATCAGATACAATAAGGTGTTAATTATCTCACATTTTCTGCCTTCTCTAATGTCTTATTTAAACAATTGTTCTTTTTTTGTTTAGAGGGAATGTGGTTTTGTTTCAAACTGAATGATCTTATAAAAACATTTTTCAGTCTAAATCCTGCTGTTTAAAACCTATCAGCTCATGTAAATGCCCTTTAAAAGGGAGATATTTTAATAAAAGAGCCGAACACGGTGCTTTTACTCCAGCGATTATTATCTCAGTTTAGCTTCCAACATACAACATGGCGTCAGCGTTGAGATAGCAGTATCTTAGCACGGTGCTAACAACGGAACTAACAACGGAATTTCTTAACATTAGAAACATCGAAAATAACTTACAGCTTTCCGAAAGTAAATAAACTTATTAACAATCTGCAGTTGTGTATTTATAAATGTACTCTTACCTGTAAAAGGGGGATATTTTGATAAAAGAGCCGAACACGATGATTTTTATCTAAGGAGGAAATTCCGGTGCTCTTCACTATGACTACCGCAAGCGGTAGACTCCCCCTGCTGGTTGAATCTGGCCACTGCTTCAGCCAAATCAGACTAGTCAGCCTCTGAGATAACAAAATTTCAACCCATCACAAATTTGATTAATTTTCTGACATTTGTATGTGTCTAAAACTGAGATCATGTAATTGCAGAAAATTCTGTAAATGTAAACCAAAATAATAGTTTTTAAAATTCAGAAAATTAAAATAAAAGCCATCAAATAGAAACCCTCTATTGATAGTCCTCCATAAACAATGGAGGAGTGTCAAAACTCCTCCATCAATATCCTCCAACATGAAAGTCTTTTCGTTGTTGAAAAAACTTTCATGTTGTTTCAAATACTTAGAAACAGGTTTTATTACGTCTCCATACATTGATTTCTTCTTGGATGGTTAAGATTCACTGAAAGTCATCATAATGTAGAGCTGAGTGTCATCTGCGTAGCTACTCTAGCTAATCTTATTTCTTGTGATAACCTGAGTTAACAGGAGCCTCAAGATGGAGTCCTGAGGGACCCCAAATTTGATTTTTGTCAGCTCCGATAAAAACATACTTGAAAAAAATAAATCCCTTTTATTGTAAATGATTGGTTACCAGTAGAAACGCACCACAAACATGTTGAATTTGATTATTTTAGATTTTTATATATTTCTAGTTGAATTCAGGCTTAAAATATATTGTAAGGAAGGTCGCATCGCGAGATTTGTTGTTTTAAGTCTGTTTATTCTGTTCTTGACAGCTGGGGTTGCCTTAGCAACCAGTTCTAACAGCTGATCCGTTATGTTTTTACTGTTGTTGGATATGGCACTCACCGCTCGCTGCCCGGACATCGCTGAACGCTGTCCGTGCCAGAGCTAGAGGCCAGAAGCCACACAGTTCATTGTGGCAAAGCTCAGTTTTTGTTGTAATTCCTCCGTGTGCTGGAAGGAGTAAAGTTTCTGCAAGAGACCCTTCGTTTTTTGTCGTGTATCTTCAAGTGCCGACACGCCTCCTTAACAACGGAAATCAAAAAGCACGACAACTGGTGTCAGAAGTGGGATCATCTACAAGACTTTTGTGAGTGAATCCAATCGTAAAGAAAATATCCAAGCCATCCTGAACTAATTACAACTTAAAGACAAGCTACAACTAGAGCAGGAAAAGAAATCGCGCTGAGACAGTAATAAAGCTGCTGCAGTACTACCGCGTAGCACTTCCGGTCCAGCCCTTCACAATAACGGCAACAGTAACAAAGTTGGCACAGCGTTGAAGAAGGTTGTTTTTGGTCGTATTCTGTCAATATAAGAGCATGAGCAAACTTACCAACGGAAAAAAAATAAATAAAATAAAATGACAGAGGATTTACAAGGTGCTACAGCTGGCCCTGGAGAGGCAGACACAGCTCCAAAGTGGTTACAGGCTTTGCTGGAAAACCAAAATCAACAAACAAGACACTTTCAAATGATGTTGGCTCCTGTCCTTTCACATATAACTGGACAATCAGCTGTACAGCAAACCCAAGCATCAGGTACTGTTCCTGAGAGGAGTGATGACTTAATTCCAATTCATTCTACAAGAGAAAGGCATACATGTGAAACACATGCCCCTTTGGATGTGACAACTAGACCACGTATTCACGCTCCTTTTGCAGCTGAGCTGGAGGTTATAAATGAAAGATCACGAAGCTCAGGCCCAGTGAGACAAACCACCACCCCTGGACCTGACCCAAGACACAGAGACATCAGGGACAGTGAACCTGAGGCCCAACACACTTTTACCTACAATGATGAAAGAAGGCAAAATAATACTGGAGGCCATTATAACAACTGGTCAGAGTTTCAGAGGCCTCTTCAGAGGCCATCATATATTAGCCACATATGATGGAAATGAGGACTGGGACTCTTTTCTGATGCCGTTCGAACGCCAAGCCAGGAAACACGGATGGACTGCTGCTGAACGAGTGGACAGGCTGCACGAGTGTCTGAGGGGAGCTGCAGTACGCTACGTTTGTTCATTACCAGAGCGCACAAAGGAAGATTATGTTCTCTTGGTGGAACAGCTCACTCAACGCTTTGGGAAAAAAGACCCTCCCACAACAGTACGAAGAAGACTGGGAGAACTTCGACAGGGGCGGGAGACATCAGTTGAGTTTGCAGAGGAGGTAAGACGCCTGACCACCCTTGCATATCCAGGGGTAGATCTCCTGCTGCAGGACCAATTGGCAACTGATGCTTTCCTCAAAGGCCTAAGAAACCAGAAAGTAGCATACGAAGTAATGAATCGTGACCCAAGCTCCTTCATAGAGGCCCAAAAGTTTGTGGAGGCTCATGAGCATAACTTTAAAGCTACGGTGGGTCGGGACACAGAAGTAAAAAACAGAGCAAGGCGCATTTCATGGGTTGATGAGGGGGACATGTGCGATGACAGTGCAACAATGTCCCGCAGGGTCAGTACTCCCCAGTATGTCACAGCTGATCAGTTTGCTGCACTGGCAGAACAAGTGAAGACCCTTGTTAGCACCGTGGGGAACCTACAGCTCCAGGTTGCCAATTTACAGCCCATAAGTGTCGGATTCCAAAACTCCAAGGCAGCCCAAAGTCCTGCAACAGAGAGGAAACAAAATTATCAGCACATGCAGCCCAGCAGAGGGCGTTCTCAAACTCCAAGTCCAAATCGTGGAACAACTGGCCCGTGTTTTAAGTGTGGGGAGACAGGGCATTTTAGGAAGGACTGCATTAGGGCTCCCAGTCCTGTGACTGCAAGAAACAATAGCGACAAGTATATAGACAACCCACTGCAGTCAAATGGAACCACAACCTCAGATTACCAACTACAAGGCAGACAGGTTGGCTGCACTAAGAAGAAGGGTGAGAGCCTGCAAATTCTACTGACCCTAAATGGCATCCCAACGCAGGCCGTAGCTGATACTGGAGCTCAGACAACTGTAATATCAGAGGAGCTTTATCAGAAAATCCTGAATGGTAATTCTGCACCCGCAGACCTTCACCATACCTACCTACTAAATGCAGGAGTCGGAGATGGCATGAAAGCTAAACATGGACTCACAGTGACCTTCCAGATTGGGTCCAAATCCATAGACTGGGAAGTACATGTAGCCCCTATAAGAGACTCTGTCCTCCTCGGATTGGATCTGATGAAGGCCCATGATGTTGTCATCTATACCCAAGGCAAAGTTTTCATTGGGGATGAATTGATCCCCTCAAAAATTGTGCGAGATGATGGATCAGACTACTGTGTGGCTAGAGTAACTCTGGAAAGAACCTCAATCATCCCAGCCAAATCTGAATGTGTTGTGTGGGGTGAAGTGGAGGACCCACAGCCAGGGGTTACAGCATTATTGGAACCCTTGAACATTGCAAACAATGTAGCCTCTGGAAGTGTTGTTGTCACCATGAAGCCAAAGTCACCAATCAGAGTATGCAATTTTTCAACCAAGAGAGTGGCTCTACAGAGAGGAGTGTGTCTTGGACTCTTAGTTGAAGTTTATCCTCTGCCCTCATTTGCACCAAAACCAGATGCAATGCCTGCACCATCACTGGTGGTTGGGAGAGTAGCAACAATCTCTGACATTCCTGAGCACCTTCAAAGTTTGGTGGCTACCATAAGTGAGACCCTCAGTGAGGAACAGCAACAGCGATTCATTCAGCTACTCCTCAAATACCAATCCATCTTTGCTAAAAGTGACTCTGACCATGGCTACTTGTCTGCTGTTACACACAAAATTGACACTGGGTCTGCCAGACCTGTGCGTCAACCTGTGAGAAGAACCCCGCTTGGATTTCAGGGCGAGGAGGAAGCACATCTAAAAAAAATGCTGGCGGAGGGCATAATCACACCCTCAGCATATGAGTGGGCTTCTCCAGTGGTCCTAGTTCGAAAAAAGGATGGAGGAGTAAGATGGTGCATAGATTACCGCTGTCTGAACAACCTAACAATCAAGGATGCTTATCCATTACCCCAGATTGAAGAATGTCTTGATGTTGTGGGTGAAGCCATCATGTTCTCTACTCTTGACCTTCAATCCGGCTATTGGCAGATTGCAGTGGATAGTAAAGATCGAGAAAAGACAGCATTTATCACCAAATGGGGCCTTTATGAATACACTCGAATGCCATTTGGACTATGTAACGCTCCAAGTACATTTCAGAGAGCAATGGAGCTTGTTCTCGGGGGCC